GAAAGAGTGAGGCACCTGAATCACAGAAAGGAAAAAGATCCACCCCATGACTCTCAGCCAAGAGGAAGGAACAACATGCCAAGCAACCACAAAACCAAAACACACAGTCAGGTTAGTAGTATGAAGAACAGAGCAAGCAAAAAAAAAAAAAAAAAAAAGGATGCACTCTTGAGGTTATTCAAAGCCACATGTTGTTACAGCTCAATGCCAAGAACATACTTCAACAGCTCCTCAGCTGGAGGAAGGATTCTTCATGCTCTCGACTGAGACAAACAAAACCCAGCCTGGAGGACTCGGACAGCCCTTTCCCTTCATTTCAGGGCATCAAAATCCTTCAGGCAGCTTTGAAAATCTTGGTTGTTGGAGGTGTCCACCAGCAGACTGCACTGGAGAACAGAATTACCCAAACAAGCCTCGCTATTGAAAGCGGAAGCCTTTTCAGCAGGGTGAACCCACGCTACTGCTGTTTCTGAGAAACTCAGAACAAGGTGGGTAAGTCTACACTGCACTGCTCTCTGCAGGGTGTGCACATCCAGACACCATTCAGTTCCATGGCCGGAGCTCCCACTGAGCCATGGGGAGCTCTGCAACGGAGCGGTGCGTGGGGTTTGCCTTCAGGACATCAGGAACCCATCACTGGTGGGAACTGCAGTGCACCAGGAACGAAGGCTCACAAAAACGTGAAGGCACCTGGGCTAGACTCCCAGTACCTACCACGTCAGCAAGTGTCTTTCATTGTGATGGGCCATGAGAGAACGCAAGGGTGTCAGAGCTCCCATGGGCCAGTTGGCCCAGAAGAACGAGCTCTGTAAGCAAATTCCCCACCGCATGCACCAGTCGCCAATGTTATGCTAAAAAATTGTAACAGCGAAGACAACTGGGTGGGATCAAGAAAAAAAAAACGACAAATGAAAAGAAAAAAATAATCCCGCCTTTGCAGAAACAAGGCTTTCTGCTTCCAGCTTCGAGATATCTCAGCACCAACTGAACTACAGAACGGGAGAAGCAAACCCGTCATCTAACTGGAAGGCGGGGGAGGAGGGAAGGGGGTTAAAAATAAATAAAAAGATCTTATGGGATTATTTCAGAACTTATCGTGCAGATCAGCGCGTTAAGTGTGAGACAGCTCAACGTGCAAGGTTTGGTTATATACATGACGTTAGCCTTGGAAAGGAGAGACTTCAGGGGCCCAGGTCAGCTACGCTTTCAGCTCCAACTCCAAATACACTCTCATCACCTCCACTGCCACTTCCAACTTGGAAGATTGGCAACCACAGTCCTGGTGGAATTGCCCAACTCTCATGCGTACGCTCTGAGAAATGTCTGTCAATCCCCCTCCCTTTGCTGGAGAGTGAAGAAACACTCTGGACAGATCCCAGCTCTGCCCTAGAAGTGGACCAGGAAGGCTCCTCTGAAGGAAGCCACCTCCAAGAAATGTCAAGGAGCAGGTGGGAGGTCTATGCTGGAGACTTCATGTTCACTAAACTCTCTGCTGCTCTCTTTGCAAGTGGCTCTTTTGTCAGGTGCTGGCAATTCTCAGAATTGAAGGAAAGCAGAAACATCACTGCTAGGTACAACACCCAAGACAGTCAAGAGAAAGACTCATCTTGAGCACAGTGAGTCTTGGATCAGGACTCTCCCACCAGTGCCTGGAAAGAGCAGAGCCAGAGCTCATTGTCTGTGCTCACTGTCAACCCTGCCCAACCTGTTTCAGAGAGCAATCCCACAGCACAGTGTAAAATAACCAGGACTAGTCAGAAGGCAGCTGTAACCATCACCTCCTCTGCTCAGCTGGCAAAGGGCTCCTGTCACTTCCCAACCTCTCAGGTTACTTGTTATTTTAAAGGAAAAAAATACTAGGGCAATGAGCTGGCAGACTGAGGATAGCCCACCCTGACACTGCTCAACTTTAAGCATGAAGACAGGCACTTTTCACATACACAAAGATGCTTCCTACTGGGTTTTCTGAATGATTGCTTTGACCACCGGCACGAAAAGCACTGGGCAGGAACATGGCTTCATACTCCTACAGTGGCTGAGAACCTAAGAACTTTGCAACTACCACTCACAAGAATCAGAGAATATTCTCCTATTCTTTTGAGGTGAGCAGAAACCTTTGAGATCACACAAATAATCAGTGGCAGAGCTGGGAAGAGGACTTGGAAATCCCTGAGCACCTAACAGGGCACCGCTATCACTTTGCCCCCAGCAGAGCAACATTTCATCCCACCTTCCCCTACCAAAAGAAAATTATAACAATAATAACAAATAAAAATGCCATAAACTTAACTGATATTTTATTGAAACTTAACAAACCTGGCCATAAAATTGGGACTGGGAGGGAGGAAATAAAAATAAGCAAACAGCCACAAACTAGTTTTGAAGAGCGCCAGTGTCTTGGAAATCATGAGGAGCGCTGGAGATGTCACTTACAAGATATACGCTGCTATTGGCACAGGGTATTTTTACAATATATGTGCATATCTAAACGGTAAATATGTCTTGCTGCTGTTGTGGATGCAAAGATAAATATGCGCATACCAATGGCCCTGCATGTATGGATGCATTTGTATCAGAGGCATAATTGCAGAGAGCCCTTTGCGCTGCCACTCTGCTGCTTCAGCACTCTGCTGTCTATGTACTAGTCATGTATGAAAATTACGATGGCCCAAAGTCTCAGAGACATGGCTAAGAGGGGCTGACACACTGGGATGGGAGAGGGAGCAGGAACGTGAAGAGCCCTGAAAATTAAAATTCTGTAACCCTCCATGGCGACAAGATCCAGGAATACAAGTCAAATCCTTCCACTACAGGAGGCTCCATCATAAATCTAATCTGTCCCTCTGAAAGGCTCCATTGTTAACAGACGAAAAGTTTTCAGTGGTCATAATTTGATCTGGGGCTCCTCAAGAACTGAGAGGTAACAACCATCTTTGAGCTTGTGAACCCAGGAAGAAAGGGCTCTTATCTTGGCATGGAAGTCCCGTGATGCTATTGTGCGTAGACAAAAAAAAAAAAAAATCCACCAGAAAAACCAACACTTTTCATGACTTGCAGCAATGTGGAACAGTGGTTCATCTTCAGCATCCAGACATCTTATCAAACCCAAGACCTATCACCACTATTCCTTAGTGTTGAGTTTTTATCAGGGCACCACCAGCTTCAGAAAGTGATGGAAACATTTTAGCAAGCTATAGCACTCAGCTCCTGCTGCTGGGTGAAAGCCTACATCAAAACAATGCCCACAAAGAGATCTCTTCCACCCCTAACACTTCTGATAAGCAAAACACACTTCAAGTTTGCCTCCAATTCAAAAGTGTTCACAAGCTTGACTGCTGGTATTTCTTGCACTACTTCTCCAGCTCTTCAGAGAGCTGCTTCTCCAGCTTCTTTAATGTCTTCTCTAATGTTCTGACAGTCTCTATTTCCACCTCAAATTTTCCAGGACCTCTAACAAGTCCTTTTCTCTAAAGTATCTGACAATTCAAATGGCATTAAGAATAAACAAACACAGTAATGGTGTTCATTGGAGCTGAAATCAAGCCATCCTCAGCTGCTGCCTCATACTATGTACCACCAATGAGACAGACATCCAGCACACCAAGCCACTGAAGTCGACTTTGGTCATGTATACAAGACTCCTAGTTGCAGTCAATGGCAATGACATACATGCACTGAGAGCACAGAATTTAACTCCCCTGTAAGTTTTCTTTGTGTTTCTACCATGGCCAAAGATGAGGGAAGAACTTGATGGACCATGTAGCTCCTCAGCTGGACAAAGACACCGAGTTTAATAGCAGGTCTAAAAGCCTGGGCTGACCCAGCAGGATGTTTGTCCTTTTTCACTTGCCAACCAACACTCAAGACAGTGAGACCATGATCAGAACAGCCTCTCTGCTGAAGCAGGATCCTCTCCAGCACTGCGCTCTGGACAAGTGATTACCACAAATGGAGGAAGGCCAAGAAGAGAAGATACGGCAATCAGGCCTGTGCCTGATGTACATTTCCAGACAGCGCAATCCCCTCCATCAGCAGCTTTGAAAGAAGATTTACAAAACAAAAGGGTGAGTGGGAAAAAACAGCTCAGGACAATTTTGGCTGCTCTGCATGGAAGATTTCACTGGATGTCATCACCTGTGTGTGGCCCTTGAGGACTCTGATTGGCAAAAGGGTCTGCCCACATAAAAAAGCTTTCATTTGCCATGCGGTTTTTGTGCTGAGATTGTCCAGGCAATCAAAGTGAGGATGGGGAGTTGTTAGCCCAAATGAGCCAGACGTCTCAGCTTATTTGAACATCTGGCTGATAAAGCCCAACTGTGCATATTCAGGATGAAAAGGTGTTTGACATTCAGGCCTGGGTGACTGAGGATGGGGGACCCTACTTTGAACGTGCCAGATGGCTAGACAGATGCAATCCTTGCCCTTGTCAATGTGTGGCCAATCTCTTTGACTGACTGTAGCCATTCACCAATCTCTAGTAATGTGGGCATCAATGCAGAGAACAGATGGGCCTGCATAGCCACAGCAGAAATGAATATAGCTCCTGTCCCAGGTCCCATCACATCCAGTTCCACCTCTCCTTCCAACATCATGGCCCTCCAGGGACTACATTGCTGGTTGCTTCTTTCTTATGACCTGTCCTCTGCCTTCTCACCTTCTTTCCACACACCCTAAAACGTATTTGAACCAGAACACCCTAAAAATTCCCTGCAAAACCAGCCTTTGTTCATGTTCCTGCCTCACCAAAGTCTCAGCCAATGATCTGAAAACAGAAAAAAGTCCATGGTATAAAAGGAGAGGCATCATCCATCTTAGTCTTTCATCTCTTCATCCACTTCGATGTTCCTCCCAGGGCAATTCAGCACATCCAGATGGCTCATGGCCCTTGACACCATCCTCCAAATCTTTCACAGACAGGTTATTTCAGACCTAGTATGTACAGGTGTGCTTCTTGCTGCTAGCACCTCCAGGACAACCTGAAGCAGGGGAGGTCACACAACTTCAGATATCCTCAGGATGTGCCTTTGCCCCACAGTATGGCAGTACAGGGATGTTTGAGCTGTTACATTCGCGTGGCTCAGCTGGGGAGATCTCAACCTGGGATGCCGCTGTTGGAGATAAAATCCTGAGGCCCTTCCAGCTGTCTTCTCAGGAGAGGACTACAAGGACATCCAAACCCACTATCTCTGCAAGCTGACCCAGAGATTATTGTGGTGCTGACAGCGGGGCTCCCCCCTGCTTCGCCACTGCTGCAGCACATGGGGAAGGTGGTGGGATCTGGCCCAGGTTAGAAACACTTTGCTTCTAGCAGAAGAAGGATCTCCATGACTCGCGAGCTCCCCTTGCATTGATGTTCTGCTTTAGCACTGCCACCACATTAGGCACGTGAAAAGAGGTCAATGTTTCTGGAGTGCAGACAAGTGAGCCAGAAAGAGGACCCAAGAGCTCAAGTCTTACACGTTAATAACAAGACTGTTTGTCCTTCCTTGAAAGCGTAGTGTTACCCAGGGATTATCTTAGCTGTTTACTGCAGGGTACCAGCCAATTTATCTTTGAAACAGCCGTGTTACTGCCTGTGGGGAAGGCAAAGAAGCAGCCTCACACCAGAGCACTATTTAAGTGGGCAGGCACTGGGGAAATGCCTATTGCATCACATGGGCCAGATCCAAACTCGTTTAAGGAATCTGAAGCTCTTCCCTTGCTATTCCAGACCTTTGGATCTGACTCCAGTTGAAGAAACAGGAAAAGAAGGAAAACTGTGTCTCTTCGGTCCAAGCTGACGTGGACTGCAGGACAGCATCGCAGGCAGTAGGCATCTCCCTCAGCACATGCAATTCTGCTCTCTATCCTCCAGCATTTTCTACACGGGGTTTTAATGTCAAGAGACTCCACCTGACCAGGTATTTTGAGTGAGCTGTTTGGAAAGAATGACATTTTTAAAACTGCAGCTAAATCTTCAGCAGTTAAAACAAAGGAAGAGAAAGAAGAAAAAAAAAAAAAAAGAAGAATCAAACAAAATTCCTGCAAACCATCTGCCCCTGAAAAACTCTGCCACGTCCACCTGAGCCCTCTGAGCACCTCAGCCGAGCGAAAGCAGGCAGCCCAGCTCACTCACAGGCAGCCCTGGGTGAGGAGGAGGTGGAAGAGATGCCTCCCAGCAGTATTTCTGACCTGCAATCAAAAGCTGCAACATCTCTGCTCTAGGTGGCTCTAGGAGACAGATCCCTAGCAAGTAACATGTCCCCTGGAAACTAAGGGGTTGTGTGCAAAGACTTTGCTGCCCAACTGAATAAGCCTTCTACCACTTGCTTCTGTGCAAGCCATCCACACGAGTCCCTGCAAGGTGTGGAAAGCTCCCCAGCACAGGAACGATCAGCCACCGCTTACCATATTAGCTCGTGGGTAACAGACTGCCTTTGCTCTCCCACTGGGGGGTTGGTTTGGGAGATCAGCCAGAGTGCCACGCTGCTGGTTCCTCCCTTTGTTTGACCCCTGGCTCTGCTTTCTCCACCTTCCACCCAAATCCTCCAGATCTGGGTTGCTTCTGGGGTGTGATTCCTCTGATACCTGTTACAGGCTGGGTTGCGCTCACTACAGAAGCACATCCTGATAGCAAACAGTATGGGGTACTACTGGTGGTCTATTTAACATCCAGCTTCTCCCACTGCACACCATCCCCTTTGCTCCCACATTGTTTCCTTCCTCTTAGTAGCATACCTGATAACAGCAAGCATCATGCCCTGGTGAAAGGGTGCAATGAGCAGACACCAAGCTCAAAGGCACAAGAGTGACACATTCCCACTCTCCCTCCCACCCCTAAAAAGAAAAGAGGCACACAGATATTTGTATGGATAATGAAGTACATGGCACCCACGAAGATCACTTTTTTTCTCCTTTTAATCAAATCCTCATTTTCCATTGCTCTTGGGAGCAGAGCACAACCAGCCGACTGCAGCCTGGGATCATTTTAGGGTCGGCCGTCCTTGTGGCAGGTACCACACATGAACTAAGCATCGTTCTCTAGCGGAGGAGTTGAAATCTGGGCAAAGTGCTCTGTGCCTTTGACCCTCAAAACAAACAAATGGAAACCACAGCAAATGGGCAGGAAAGGGGGAAAGGGAAGGGAATGACCCATGGATTTCCCTGGATCGCACTGACACAAAGGGAAAATAAAATACACAGAACACACTCTTGCAGGTGATCCAGACACTGTCATGTAAGCAATCAAAGGTAACCACAACAGAAAGAAAATCAAAGGATAAAAATCTACCCAAAACAACCCCCCAAATGGCATGAGTTAGGACACCCCAGAAATGTTGGGGTTTATCCATTAGGCCACTCATGCTTTCAGCCCCAGTGAAACAGAACCATTATGCAATGACTTTTTTGCAATTTTTTTTCTCCCCTTCAAAGCGCAAGCAATCCCAGCAATCTTTTTTCGTGTAGTTTTTCTGATTTTGTGTTTATCATCCATGCAATATAACCCCCAACGCGGCACCATCAGTCACAAGGTCTGATCACATTGCTTTTCCAACAAAAAACAAAACAGGGAAGGGGAAGAGAAAAAAAGAGAAAAGAGAAAAGAGAGAAAAAACAAACAAACAAAAAAGGCAAAGAAAATAAAGTACCCCCACAAAACAAGCCCCAAAACCAAACCCATCTCTTTTTTTTTTTTAAAAGACCACAAAAGTAAGCTAACCAAAACCAGAAAACAGAAATTTGAAATAACCAAAAGGAGAAAAGAGAGAGAGATTAGAGGGAAGGGGGAAAACAAACAAAAAACCGAACACTAATGACCCAAAATAAAAAAACCCAAAAACTAACCAGCTGAATTGGGAGTTGAGGGTGAGTTAGCCTGGCTTCCATGGGCTGACACATTGGTAGCCGTGACAGCCGTTTTGGCAGCATAAATATTGGCTTCCTCTTGAAATTTACCTATGTTCTTCTTGTACCGGATTCTCTTATTTCCAAACCAGTTTGATACCTAGAGTGAGTTTAAGAGAAGACAAATACGTTAACGTTTCGGCTCTGGAGAGTGCAGCTGGGTGAGGAAGGTGGATTAGTTCAGGTTAAGCAGTGCATATTCTTTCGCCCGCCCCATTTCCTAGTCGTGGAAGGAAGACTTCCTAACTGCGCGTGCCACACCAAGCCCAGGAAAGCTGGTGGGACCCCCTTGGGAGGGCTGGGTTTGTGTGGATGTGTCTGGTTCCTCTACGGATGGGACATCCACTAAGGGGATGCTCCACATGAACCACTAGACCCACCCCACGAAATATCAGATGGGTTTAAAAAAACCTGAGAAAGTTAAATGACCCTGAAATTGCACAATCTGAAAATGAGTATGTGTCATTTTGGAACTTTTTATTTGCCTCCTCCTTGGTGTCCCTTTGACAGGGCCAGATGCCCTGATTCCCAGATGCCTATTCTCCTCCCTTTGGAGAAGCCAGTGTGGCTTTCAGGGAAAACACCCAACGAATTTACTTGAGCCTGGCTGACACACAAAATTGCCTTGATATCACTGAAGCTCTGCCTTTGATCCACCTAGGTGAAATCAGTATAAAAGGCCAGAATGAATGCTCTTCATCCAGCTGAGCTTGGTTTTGTATGGTTTACCATGAGCCACTACATAAACCGGGAATTTCAGGGGAAGGCTGGAGGGGGACCACAGGGCTTGTAGCACCTAGCTTTGGTCCCAGGGAACAAGTGTGTCCTTTGGAAAGGGGGAGGGGATGTTTCCGCTGTGTTTGCCCAGAGACCAGTATGGGCCTGATGTGTCTAAGTGGCTAGAAGTGTGCTGAATGAGGCTAGTGGATTTATTTAAAAAAAAAAAAAGCAGCGGCTGAACTTCTTCGGAAGTCATGGGTGTGGCTGAAAATGATGGGCCAGATCTGAAGGCAGAATGAAGCAGTGAAGCTTTGTCCATGCCAGTCCCAGTGAAAACTGTTTCCCTGTGCCTGCAGCAGTGCAATGCATGAACCTCAGAAAGCCCCAAGGAGAGGTCCGAGCAGTGATCCTCAGAGACTGTCAGGGTGATATCCTGGGATCAGTAGTATGAACGCTTGACAGAAAGGTTGCTTGGACAACCTGCCAGGTTTCTGGATAACTACTGCAAAGTTTGCACATCAGAGGAGCAGCACAGTGATAGAATAACTAAAGTCTGGGAAACTAGGCTGTGGTATCCAGGCAGAACTGCTTCCCAGGGAAAATGTCAGGGTAGCTCCCGAACCACCATGAACTTAGCATTCCCAAAATCCTGCTCAGTGCCTTGCTGATGATAACCCTGTTCATTTGTAGGCACTATGTTGCACTGAACAATTTCAGAGAAGACGTGGGAAATACTCAACCTACAGTTTGGGAAGCAGCCCTCAGCTGCTTCTTTGACAACAATGAACACCGAGAATCAGCAGAATGTCTTCCTACGTGCAGGTCTAAGCAGAAGACAACTTCCAGCTGCTACTGACCTTATTTGAGAAAGTTCATCAGGACGAAGAGGACGGGCAAATGCCAGAGTATGCTGCAACTCTCCCAGAAGAGCTCCAACACTCCTATGATTGCTTGGAGCTGCAATCTTGAGCTAGCAAATCAACCTCTTTGGTGGGACTCCAAGGACATTCTCCCTTTGCTTGCCAGTGAGCAAGTACATCAGTGCTCCCCCTTCCAAATGGACTGCCCAAGCACCAAGACACAGAAGACAATACTGGATGTTTATCCTAGGAAGCTTATAATTTTTTTCTCATCTTAGGGGAATTGTTTTGGCTTGGGTGTTGATATGCTTTTATTCCTATGATGCTTTCTATCTGCAGTCCTCCCAGAGCATTCAGCAGCTTCTACACACAAGTGGCTTAATCCACCAATTCACCTGCTACTGAACTGTGCATATCCAATCCTGCGCTGCTGCAGAGCGAGAAAAAGAAAATATAACCTGCAGAGACTGCCAGGAAGCAAAAGGTAGTAACACAGATTAGCACCCAACCCAGATCTGGGAGTATTTAGAAGGCACCTGGAGCAGGCGCTGTTTGTGAGGGGCTCCATTCCACTTTTTGGTTCAGCTTTCTCATTAATGACAATGTGCTCCTTTGTGATCTTCCCACTTGGCCATTTCTCTACAACAGCTATTCTGGCTTCAAACACTGGAGTCGGTGGGTGAACTCCTCTGAGCACCACAGGGAAGGAACTCTGAAAAAATGGCAACCACAATCCATCTTCATCTTAAATCTGGTGAAGCAAAGAACCTGCCTACTCCAGTCAGCCTTTGAGTTCAGGTGAACTCTGCTCATGACTTGCACAGATTCATGCTGTCCCATGCTCCCACTTAGCCTCAGCAAAAACAGACTTGGATGTGTGTTTGTTTCTACCTTCTTTGGACGAAGAAGGGAGGGAGATCCTGGAGACAGGCACAATGCAGCCTTGATACAGCACAGTCAAAAAATATCCTAAGCGCAGCATTTCTCTTGGGCATTTTTTCTTTGCAAGGGTGAAGTTGTAAGTGTGAACAGATGCATTAAAAGTGAGAAGGGAAGCATCAGGACAGCTGTAGTTTTACTTAAGCCAGCATGTGCTGTCTCTCACAGGTAACTCTGGGCAGAATCAACTTTTGGGTCTTCTGACCCAGGGGATGCAATTGGAATCACTCAGCAGGCATTCAACATGGTGATGACACCTACCCTTGGATTCTGTTGCTCTTGCTGAAGGCAGACATACTCTCACAAGGACACCAGATGCTACTGCTGTCTTCAGTTTACTCAAGCGATGAACAGGCATGTGCCTGGGGCTGGGAAGCAGCCCAAGATAGGCAGCGCAATGGGAGCCTAGAGGGAGTGCTAAGCTCACATGAGGACAAGACTACTAGAGGCCATATAGATTGACTTTCAATCACGCAGATTGCTCCAAAAAGAGAGGAAATATAGAAGGGCAGGCCTGAGCAATACACGACTGAACACTTCAAGGACTGACTGCACTCCTCACAAATCTCAACAGCTCCCAGGTCAAAGCTACAGACTCCAGGAACTATGTGGCTGCCTTGAATGTATGGAAATAATTCAATTTGTTTTTATTGACCACCTTTCTTTTGAGGGATAAGCAAGTCGGGGAGATGTCATATTCTGCAGCACAAGAGTAATGACAGAGAGAAACGACCCTGAGAAAGCCCACCCTCCTTGAGCACAAACTATAACCATTAGCCTGTCTGACCCAAGCCCCTCCCACCAGGATCTTGTCCATTCTACCTTATTGAGCAAAATCTGTGCAACTCTTCCTACTGCCTTCGAATCCCTTGGCTTCAAGAATGGACTTTTAGCTCAAATGAGCTCTTCCTGCAAGCCAGCTCAGCACTAATTCCTTGAGGAGAAGACTTTGCTTCTGTGGGTAATGCCACATCATTTCTGTGCTGTTAACACCTTGGCTGCACACACAGCCATTGTTCCATGAAGTCTTCATCCCTTCTAAATCCTCTCCTAAACTCTCCTTTTCCATCCATGGCTTCAATCTGCAAGTCTGCTATCTGCTTTCCCATCCGCTTACACTAACTTGTGCTAAACAAATTTAGTAATTAAACGCTCAACACTGGGACATGACTGACTTGACTGAGGTCCGAAGTGCCCTTCACCACACTAAAGTTTCCTGTTAGCAGTAGCTGTCTTTGCTGCATTTCCAGGCTTTCTCACCTGTGAGACTGTGATGCCACATTTCTTGGCTAGCTCTTCTTTGGCTTCCTCACTGGGGTAAGGGTTGCTGAGATGGGAATAGAAATACTCATTCAGGATTTCTGTAGCCTGCTTGTTGAAGTTTCGTCTCTTCCGCCTTAGGATGAAGAAAGAGGGGAAAACAGAAGGAACAGGAAAGGGAATCAGTGCCAGGGATCCAAAAACAGGAATGCAATTTTAGATACTCTGACTTTCCCCACTTTCCTCCCTCCTTTCCCTGCTCCTGGGAGCATGGAGTGCAATAGACTTATGGCCAGGAAGCTTTGCATCTGCACCTTCCAAAGCAAGCAAGTCTCCTTCTCAAATTATCACTGTATACTCTAGCTCACAGAAGAGTCTTAAAACTGGCATCCAGATCCTCTACCTGGGAAGGTGACTCCTGACACCTGGCTGCCCTGGGCAAAGACATCCCTGCTACTCTGCAAAGCTCTGTGCTGAGAAAGCAGCAATGGATAATCTTTGGGGAAGTCTGTTCCAATTCACAGCTGGGCACTTACCTGTCTGCTACCTCTTCCCTTGTACCCCCAGCGTAACTGCCTCTGCTCCCGATCCCAAGCTGCAGCCCAAGCCACAGACTGCACATAACCACCTTGGGGAGTGAAATAATTCTACAGCAAATTGAAAATCTGGGACAATGGAAACAGAAGGAAAAGAATAGGAACCTAGAGGGGACGGGACAGCCTGGAGGATTAGCTTTCATCCCAAACTGAAAAGCACATTTTCACCACAGAGGTTTGCTGGAATATGCCACAGAATTTCCTGATGCTGGAGCAAAACCTGCATGTGCAATTCTCAAGGTACAGCTGGGAGCGCTCTTGAGACAGAGACTGGATGTCTTCTTGAATTGCTGTCCCCTCCCTTGCTGAGCCACAGACAACTAAAGGGTAAGGAAGGCAAATAGCCTCTGCAGCTCAAGACCAGGAGACACTGCCCTTCAGATGGACCTGGATTCACTCCAGAACCTCGAAACACCTCTCCCAGGCCTGAACAATACTGCACAGTGGGTGGGAAGAAAGATTTGTGGGTTGAACTCACCGTGCATCCAGAAATCGGGAGCGCAAGATCATGACGGCTTCACACGTGCTCTGCTTCAACTGCATCTGGATGGAGCTGAACTTGCGGTGGATGATGCTCACCATCCGCTCTATCTCCTTTGGCGAGATAGGTCGGGTTCGGCTCTGCTCACGCAGCAGGTTCATCACGTGGGTGGTGAATTCATTGCATGCCTGGGATGGCAAGAAAAGCAAAAGAAACCCCAGGATCGGAAGGTCATTCGACAGCGTCAAGGACAGTATAGAGGCAACGCTGCTAAGGAAGGAGATGCATGCAGAAGCTTCAATGGCTGGGTTTTTTAGACACCCAGAGCAAGGGTGTGCTGGCTGTCAGGGGAGAGACAGGTTTTTCTCATCTGCTGAGCAGAGGGTATGAGATACTCCCAACAAACATGGCGAGAAAGGCAGGAGCCAATTTCTTTGCTCTCAGGGATCATGGATGGAGCTGGGGCAGGTGAGCTAGGACTCATGTGAAGCATGAAGTCCCAGCCCTTACACTGTTTTTCTGGATGGGACTGGAGGGGCTATAGATGTATCTGAGGAGGACCATGAACCTTTTGACCCTCTGTCCCTCCTCCCACTGCCCCAGCTGGACCGCAGCACCATGTGTCCTGCAGGGCCCCTTGTGCTTCACAGGAGCAGCTCCCAGAGACACAGGGCCCTACTCCGTGCTCTTAGCACATCAGGTAAGAAGTAAATAACAATAATTAAAACCTGAGTGAGGCAGGAGCCCTGACAAGTAAGGATAAGCAGGTAATAATCCCAATTTGTTGCTGGCACAGCACTGCCTGACTGCTCCTGCTGTCCCCATGCCATGCTGTGAAGACAGTGCAGCAAGAGGAGTTGGGGGGGACAAGGGAGGGATTTTGAGGCTGGATGAAGGCCACTTCATTGCCCTCTCCTCCATCCCCACGAGCACTTCGCAGGCCGACAGGATCCTCCAATTCCCAGAACCAGTCTGGGATCCAAGCCCCGAAAACCAGGTTGAGGGCAGCACTCAGACCCTGATGGCTTGAGAAGCCTTTGGTGCTCCTGGGACACGGGCAGCTGCTCTGGAGACAGCACCCCCAGATGCCACCCCACAATGGGGAAAAAGGGGCTATCAGGGGAAAGAAACACCTATTTTGTGGACGGGCGACATGGGGCTTGATTTACTATCTCCCACCCCACCCTTCCAAGCTGAATCCCCACCTACGGTTCAGACCCAACAAGGAGACATCCCTGAGGCCAGCAGAGCCCCTCCAACTGCCCATCACCAGCTTCAGCTGACAGCTCCCATCTCCCGGGGTGAGCGCCGGCTATGAGAGCTCTCAGCCGGGTGCCTCTTTGCTCCCAGACGCCTGAGCAATTTCAGCTCGTCTCCTCTTGGCGTGAAATAAAGAGCATTAAAGGCAAAATTGCAGGCGAGTGCCATGCTGTCACAGCAGCAGCCAGACACTGTGTGAAGCCAGGCGCTGAGCTCCCCCAGCCACTAACAAGGGGACTGGAGAGAGGGGGATGGAGGTTAAGAAACCCCAAACCCTGGTTTTGCAGGACCGCAGGTGACGGTATCAGAGATACGGCCTGGCACAACCATTTGCAAAGCAACTCGGTGGCAAAACCAACCCCGTCAGTGGATTGTGAGACGGAAAGATGTGGTGGCCCATCGCACCCCATGGTGCCAGGGTAAAGGCTTCTCTCACCTGGGTGTCCCTTTGGGGAGGAAAAATGTTGCACAAACAAAACCAGAAAAGCAAACAAACAAAACCCCCACCCAAGGGGAGGAAGGAGCAGAAGGTCCTTCCCTGAAGTCTGTCCCTGGCTGTGCCCTTGGAGAAGGGTCCTTGCTGCCTCTGCCCTTCATGGGTCTCTCCTTGGGCTTGGGTGGCAGAGGACATGGTGTCTCTCTCCCCCTCTTCAGCCTGGAGGCTGAAAGATGAGCCCTGACATGCTCTCCACTCCTACCCACGTGAGGTGGCTGAAGCTCCCCCATGCCACACCACCCCATGTCCGTGCCTCAAGGGAGTGACAGCAACGGCTGAGGACAGCCACAAAAGGTCATCCTTCCAACCTGCCTCCTGCCTGCTCCCTGCGCCCTGCCACCCCTCCTCCTCTAATGCTCTGCCAGAACGTCTTTCATGGCGTGACCATGCTTGGCCTCTCCAACACCAGAGCCCTGCCTGGCCACCCTGACTCCAGCTCCAACTCAGGAGCACCCATCTAAGGTAGCTCCATACCACCCCCGGGTATAGGTCTGAAGATGCAGCCTCAGCCTGGCCATCATGGCACCTGAAGAGATGAGACATCCCCCAGCCTCACCATGCATCCAGTTAGCCAGGTAAAATGGGGGCTGAGCTAGCTCACCCGTACAGACCCTAGTACCAGCAGAGACGGTGTTAAATCAGAGACCTGAAACCCAGCCTGGCCCCTGGCCACAGAGCCCAGCCTGCACCCAAAAAGGAGGGATGCTTTCTTGCTTGCACTCGATAAACCACAACCTCAGGATAGAAACCACATTCATTGCAAGGGCAAGCTGCATGGCAGCGAAGAGGGGTCTGCAAAACATCTGGAAGCATTTGAAAGAAACTGGTTTTGAACATTGGCCTGCGAAGCTTTTCATGCAATTGTCAGTGTTACCAATAGCTGCATTCATGAGCCAAATAGTTTTTCTTTTACTTTTTTTTAAGAATCATTTTCCACAAGAAAAAACACACTTTATTTTTTTCCAGAAAAAGAACTTTTCAAGCATAAAAAATATTCGAGGAAGATTTTGATTCAGGCCTTGCTTGGAAAACTGCCTTCACCGAGGCCAGCACCTTGAAGAGGACTCCCCCGTCACAGGGCCAATTTTTGGCAAGATATTAGGGGAGGAGTGAAAAGCGAAAATCAAAGGGGTAACCCATGCCCAGCCTATTCTCGTGCCACATCCCAGCACAAAAACCCAACCCTCCCAACCCTAAAAGAGCACAGTTCCACTCCAATACCAAGCAACAGTTTGCATTTGCCCGTAAGCTCCCAACAATAGATGTCAGTAGTGATCCAGGCTGTGCACATCCACGCCACGGTGCTGGCATTGGACAGCAGCTCTCCCCGCTGCTCCGGCTCCTGCTCCCAACATCCCCCTCAATGATGCCCGACAACCACCCCTGGGCAGCCCTGCCCTCCACCGCGAAGGAGCCTGTTACCTGCTCGTACTTCTCCAGCTCTGTGTGGTAGATCTGCCGGATCTGTGAGAGTTTGGCTCTGTAGTCGGAATGCTCCACCGAGTTGTCGGAGCCGGCTCCTCCCCATGACGACGTCCCGAGGCGGGGGACGGCAGCAGCAGCAGCGGCTGAGCCGCCTCCTTTTTCAGGGCCCGCTACCCCCTCAGCCAGGAGCATGTTGTCTAACCGCATCAGCTGGGGGTCTGTGGGCTCCTCTTCCTGCGCTCCCCGGATGCTCAGCACTGCAGGAAACACAAAGGGGAGAGGAAAGCCTGAGTCAGGCCCAGGGCTCAACTCGAGGAAGGGGATGCTCATCCTGGGATGAGCACATCCCCTGCTCATCCCAGGCTGGACTGGAGGGACTCAGTCCCCATCAACAGGGCTCTTCTTTCTTTCCCAAGGGTACCCCAACAGGCAGTTTGTATCCCGGTGCTCCAAGTGCAAGCGCCTCTCCTCGGCTCTCCAGCCCAGGGGCAGCGATGGGAGCACTCCAGCTCCCCACTCCCCTCCCTGCCTCTTCCCACAGGGAAGAAGTAGGGCAGAACCGGCAGAGAGCTCACTGCAGAGGTAACCCAGAAAGCCATGCTTTGTGTTCAAATATGCAGCGAAACTGCTAGCAACACCAATGAAAAAAATGACAAATTCACCCTTTCTTGCTGCAAGAAGTGAAAGGGACCGTATCCCGATTCAAGCACGGGATGGGAAGTCAGGAGCCTCTAGCCCAGGCCTCAGCTCACCCAGGGGTCCTCTTGTATCACCTAATGTGTCATTTATGGACTGATCCTGCACTGTTTGCATCAGCCATCAAATGCCCCCCAACCCCAGATGGCAGAGGAGGAACCCAGAGACCAGGGCTGGCCATGCCTCAGTTTCCCCATCTTTAAATACAGCTGAAGCGGGCTTGCAAGGCCATGCTTCTAGCCACTCAGTGGAAAAGTAAGCAGAAAACTATATGAAATAAATTTTATTTTTTGGAAAACACCTTTATTTTATAATCCAGTCATTCCAGTGAAGTCTAAACCGTGCTAAGAAAAGGGGTGATAATAAATCAAACCTCACTGAGTGACTTGCCAAGGAGAGAATTTTCCTCCCCTCTTTGTACTCCCTGCCTCAATTATTGGTTTGGGTAAAAGTCATCCTCCTGTGAGGGCTTTCCTGGAAAAAACACATGGGAGCATACCAACTGCTCCGGGCTGGCTTCTCAAAGGGACACATCTGAGGTCTGAAGGATGGAGGTGCCCTACATGCCACCCGTGTGACCCCCCATGGTCTGTGTTTGAACACAGAAGCATAACCTGAGATTTCCATATGCACGCACAAAGGTGTGCGCAACGGCAAAAGAAATAACATAAATAAAATAAATCCTTGAAGAGTGAACAAAAAAGGCATTTCCTAAGAGAAACAAATTCTATTCCCCCATCTCGTCTGGCACAGGAGCTCAAAGCACTTTATAAACACACACACACACCCCCCATGCACACACTCATGCACATCCAGAGCTGGGTAATGTTGCGTGGATTTTCATAAAGCTGTGCCCGCTTACACCCGAGATGAATTTGACCCCCCGAATCCACAGTGCAAACAAGAGCAAGTAATTTTCCCTGTCATTTAAAAAAAAAAAAAAGAGTAGTCTAAAATCAGTTGGCAATAAGAAGTAAAACTAGAGCAGCTAAAAAACCTGGACAAACACCAAGTATGGTGAAATAAGTTAAAGATAGAGCTATTATCAGTATAAAATTGAAGTAAAAGACCCTGTTGAGAGGTTTCGCTAACACTAAAAAGAGCTTTTTTTTAAGCCTCAAACTCTACTGAAATCATTATTTTCAGGACTCCAGCATTTATTGACGTTTTTGTGATTAAAACATTCACTGTCAACAAAGGTGGGAAGGTCAGGGGGAATGAAAAGATAGAAAAAAGCCCAACAGCAGTAAATTTGCCAGTAAGATGAGCTAATAATAAATAATTCCACGCTAGGGAGGATCATTTCTATACAGAGGGATGGGGGCATGGTGCCAAATTTGGAGCTGGGTGCCAGTTGCTGAGCCCTGAGGAGACAGGTCCTGCATCCCCCTCCATTGCAGGAGGCTTCCTGTGCCACCACCAGCACCCAGCCATGTGCTTCACCGATGAATAAATCCAAGGGGAGAGGTCAGATTTCATCAAGAAAATGGTTTGGGGTCTGCAGTCCATAAACTGAAACAAGAGGTAAAGGTAGCCAAAATCCTTAAAAAGAAAAGAGGAAACATGACAGGCTACAGGGGAGACATAAACTTGCTATGAAAAAAAGGAGAATAAATTCCTATTCTTCCAGGACAAAAAAAAAAAAAAACCCAAAAACCCACTAAATTAAAGCACATCAAAAGCCCAAATACAAATGGAAAGCAACACAGGTAAAAATAAAAATTAAAAAAACAAAACCAAGACCAAAACCAAATCAAAAGCAGACTTGCCAAAACAGGTGCATCTGGATTTCAAAAGGGAAATATTTTTAGATTAAAAATCTCAGGAATCATTGACCTGACAGGTAGGCACGAGTGATTAATTAGTTGATGTTTAGAAAGCTGCTTCCCAATGAAAAGTACTGTATAACCCCTGAGCTTTATTACCATGCAACATGCACGGACCAGCACCCGCTGGGTGTATGCATCCCGAGCATCCTACGGATGGACACGTGTTCCCGCAGAAGAGACCCAAACCCAGCCAGGGACTGTGCAGAGATGACCTGGGCTTGGCTGCCTGCTCAGAATAAGGCTAGGGAGTAAATAAATGGAAAAGCCAATGTGTCTAAGCAGAACTGATGCTGCCTATTTATCCCTGGAAGGCTGCGCTCAGCCGAGGAGAAGACAAAATCATTATTTAAAAGCTCCTTTTTTATCTTCCTGGTGCTGTCCCTGGCTCCAATGCACCTCCTGCCAGGATGCCCAGGGTGCTGGGCTCCTTGGCAGCCCCAACCCTCCAAAATGCCCCCAATGACGGCATGCGGCCCTTGCTTCACCGGCCAGGGGGTTCAGAGTGAGCCGGTACAGGCAGCACCTGACCCCCGCTCTCCCTAGGCTGCCGGCCTTCCCACCAAATTAAAATAAAATAAATTAAGCGGAATGTTCCACGGCAGTCCAGCAGCAAGCTGGAGCCGAGGGGCTGCAGGCGTGCTCCCGCCCGTGCCCTGGCATCCCCAGGACCCGCCATTTGCTGCTCCTGATTAAAGAGAGGGGAAGAAAAAAAAGAAGGAAGAACAAAAAGAAAGATAGCGACTGGCAGCCGGAGGGAGGAAAATTCATGCAAGACTTTCTGTCCTTGGCCGCTTTCCTGCTGGCTCGGCAGCCCCTGGAGCCATGGCAAATGCCACTAGAGGGTGCTCGGCCCTTGCTGAGGTCCCCCGCTGCCTCAAAAGGCATTTTTACATATAAATATAAGTACACACACATGCAAATATACATATAGATATATTTTAAAAGCAAAGCCAAGCCACGCGCCTTGTCACTGCTGCAAAACGTTCCCTGGGTGACCGCGGAGGGGAACCGAGGCGTGTGGCCACCCCACAGCTCAGGGCCAAGGCAGGGTCACCATCGCCGATGCCAGAAGCGGGAGCAGCTGGGGACTGCCGAGCCACCAGCCTTCAGTCACGGACGCCACCGGGGTCATGAAGACCCATTCCAGCAGCTGGGAAATGGCTCCCAGCTCACACGCTCGCTCCTTTTTCCTCCTGAGCGAGGTATCACAGCCACAGTCTGCAGAGGACATCGTCCGAGTCCTGGGCTGGCTCGGTGGCAGGACTGGCCTCTGAGAATCAGGTGAGAAGACAAAGCTGAAAATAGCTGCCGAGCTGCTTGTCTGCCCTGTGATTCAGGGACACGGGATGAAAACTGCAAGTCGCCAAAGCTTTAAGATGCTCCAAGGTGTTTCCCACCAACCCGGGCATCTCCGAGGAGCGCCTGCAGAGCAGTCAGCCCCACGCTCACACCAGACAGGCAGCCAGCAGCCCACACATGTCTGTGTCCCCACAACACAGCCCTTGTGCCTGGTGTCCCCATGCACAGGGGCAGCCACGCAGCCAGGGTGGGGGGCATGGGGCAGGAGAAACAGTCCTTGCCAGACATGGTGCTGGCACACACCTTCAAAATGGACTGTACCCTGGGGATGGTCTGGGGCTGTGAACTCACCTAAGAAATCCACAAAGGTGCGTACCAGGCTTCTCCTGGGCCTCCATGCCACCATCCCCTCCCTTATTTAGTCCATTTTCCTGGGAGCATTTTTCCAAAGGGACCTGAGGAGCCAGCTCAGCGGAGGAACCAAGCACACTGCCACCTCTCTTCTCCAAGGCCACCCCAAAACACTTCAGCTTAGCAACTCTTTGCTCTTCACCCCTTCCAAACCCTGCAGATCAGAGGTGTGCAGGCAACACAGGCAGAACAACATCATGAAGACAATCAAACATGATGGGGGTGATAGCAGCAGCTTAGCAGGAGACTGTGGCTTATCAGTGACAGCAGAAAAGGATGATCAAACCTCCAAGCTCCACCTGTCTTCCAGAAAGGGCAATTTAACCTACTGTAGTCAGTGTCTTCAAGCCGAGGAGATGTGGGAAGCAGGGGCCTGTCCTGGCCAGACTCCCAGCATGAGATATATCCACTCACAAGGGGATGTAGGCTGCCGTGGTACAGCACTCCCCACCGTTTCTCATCCTCGTGTCTCCCCTTGGATGCTGCTGCATGGGTGTGCACTCATGCCCAGTTAGGTGCTGGACAGGATTTCTGAGGTGGAAACCAAAGACCAAGCAGAAGACACTGGAGGAAGCTAAGGCAAGGTGGAGTAGTGGGAACAGCCTCTCCAGCGATGCAATGGGGACATCTTGAAGGAAGAAGACACAGCGAATGACATGAAGCCAACCCAGGTTGCGATGAAGAAAGAAGAGGTCCCCAGAGCCAGCGTGGCCGCTCATGAGGGCTTTGCTGCAAAGGACCAGCGTTCCTCAACTATCCACTGACTTCAGCGGTCCAAACTGCAGTCCTGCAAAATTTGCTGTGACCCTCTGGTTAAGATCACCTCCAACTACATGAGCTGGCAGTTCATCTACAGCTGTGTTTGCTGACACCACCAGCCAAGGGCTGATCCCAGCGGTTGGACATTTAAACAAACCCACCCTAAAAAGAAACCTGCTGCATGGTTTTAATGAGTACAGGAGGGGCACTGCCCTCCTGCCCGAGGCGGGCTGCTTCTGGATGGCTTTTCTCGTGATTGTTTCTGCCCATTCCCAACTTGCTGAATTGCCTTTCCAGGGGGACATTTTAAAGGAGAAGGAGATTTCAAGTAAATGATTGCAACTTATCGAAAATAATGTGCTACTTAGCATCGGAGACAAGCATCCTGGCAGGCAGAAATGGGAAGCAGTGCTGGAGCAGATGGGAGTAATTAGGTTGTGATTTTCAGAAGGGTTTTCTTTCCTGCCTCCACTGTGCCTAAGATGTACTGGCAGGGGGGGACACCCCACCCAACAACAGAGTTTCAAAAGAGACGGACAATTCCTCTGGCACGGCTGCCAGCCTGTGAGCTGCCTTTGAGCGTGACTTTCCCACGGGGAAACCAGAGATGTCCGGAGCAGCAATGCCGCTGGTGGAACACTGCTGGTTGCTCTCACTGTCCTCTTGCACAGCCACAAGCGGGGCGAGATGCCTCCTTACCCACCAAGACACTCATGTGCCACCGAAGCACGGACGCCTCACCCACGCATCAGATGAACAAGGTCTTGCCCAAATCTTTTCCTGGACCAGTGGGTGCCCCTGCTGTATGGACAATGAAGGCACAGCAGGTCCTTCTTGGGAACCCCAAAACTCCCGCACAGTCCCACACAGTGCAAAGCTAGGCTTTGAAACACACATTGAACATCAGCCCTCTTAACGACCTTTTGCAATTTAACCACCATCTGCAATATTCACTTGGGCTCATGGAGCCCCAGCTTCAGGAGTCATATGAGCTCACCAGTTTTCTTTAAGCATATGTTTTTACACCTCCAGGTCTAAAACAGCAGCCAGTGAACAGAGGGACAGCCGCAATGCCAGTAAATGCCCCCGCTAACAAAACGGGTAACTAATCACCTTATTTTAAGCCGCTCTCAATATTCCCTGGAGCCTGAGTCTACATTTGTGAAGGCTGAAGATCAACAGCATTGAACCTGGTACAAAAATACTCCCATCTGCCTCGTATCTGAGGACAGTTACGCATTAAGTGGCTTGCAGCTGGCTGGCTGCATCCTCCTTGTACTCATACGTGTAGTGACAACCAAGTGAGGAGAGTTGGGGTTTGCTTCCTTGGCTGATCTGTGATGGCATGGGCTTGAGCTGCTCTTCCCAAGCTTTCTTTGTGCAGAAAAGCCCCCAGATCCTGTGCACCTACCTAAGCTCTTGGGTTGTTTCCTATGTAAGTATATTTGCAGCCTACTTCCTTCTGCAACAGCAAACCCCAGACACAAAGGAAAATCCAGTGTCTTGAATCTTCTCTTCAAACACCAAGTCACCTTCAAGACCCTATGCTCAGAAGGAATAAATAAACTCTCAGAGCTTTGTAGAGGATAATAAAGCACCTCTGTCTGGGTCTTCACACTGCCCCTTCAAGGGTCCATATGACAGACAGCAACATAAATGTCTTCTCAGCAAAACATATGGTGTCCACATTAAATAGGTATCAACAATCTCGGTAACCAAGGTGGAGCACTTCAATGTTAAGTAATTACAGGCAGTTTTAAACCTCAGTTGGATATATTCACCATGTTTACATGAAGCCACCAAGAAAATCAGCATCAAAACACAATTACCTATTTCCAACATAAACGGAAGCTGGAATTTCCAAATACACAGACACACACCCCTCCAGGAAGCGGGAATTAAGAGAAGTAGGGTATTTTTCTTACAACTGACATAAAAGTTCCCCTTCTTGTTTCAACCTTTCCAAAACTTACAAATGGATGAACAGATTTTTGCTCAGATTTTCCAAAACAGGCTGCTGTGAGATGAGGCATGGAAAATTTCAGCTTGTAAAATGGCTTTTTGTGCATCTACTTATTTATTTATTTCCCAGAAAAGAGGGAACACTGTGAAATCGATGGGCCATTTCTGTCACAAATTTTCAGTCTAAAGCCATAAAACAAATAAAAAATCCCAGCAACAAACAAGAGAGGCTCGTACCCATAAGCACTGCAAAGCCACCCTGGACCGTCGCAAACCCACCTCCTCTCCCAGCAAAGGAGTATCCATCAGGGCTGTTTGGAAACAAAGCACTTAAACAATTTTGTGAGAGATGCTTTGAAAAGTGGAGAAGTGTTCCTTCAGTCCATAAAGCACACAAAATTCTGATAAGATACATACTCCCACAGAGATGGGAGCAAGTCACATCAGTTCAGAGTAATGGTCCATCTAGCCCCAGAGGCCAACTCCATCCGTGGGCCAACAAGCCCTGCTGGTGACCCAACCAAGGCCATGACCAACAGCAGAAGCATCAGATGGTCAGGGAAGTAGCACTTCCCCCAGCACCCTCCTACCCACCACCAGTTTTGGGAACTTGCATTGCAACCCAAATTCAGATCAATCAGAATGTTTCCTGAATCAGAAATGTAATCTTCTCCTCCCATTTCATGTTATCATTTTCCCCCTCCTTCTGTTTTTAAATCAAAATTTGGGTCGATTTAAAAACAACCAAACTGCTTTAAAAAACAGTAACTTCCCATCTTTCTGGGGTGGAAGAGTCCAAATTATTTGCTGAATCCAACCCAAATTAAAACAAAGTCTGAATTACCCTCAAACCATAATTTTGGTGTGTGGGGAATGGGAGAGGGGAATTTATCACATGCCAAAAAAGTTTCTCAGCTCCCAGCAGCAGCTCTCCATCACTTCAGGAGATGCGGCTTCCATGTGCCACGGAAGCTGCAGAAGAGAGACACGTATTTCATAGCGCTGGCAAAGAGTCTGCACCAGTTTTCTCCTAACCCCATCCCAAATGCCAAACAGGTTGCCATAGCGAGTGAGGATCTGGCAGCAAAATGCTCAAAAGGTCTGGAAAATTATCACTAACACATTGGGGGGAAAGAATTTCCCCCAAACTGGAAAATGATCTAAAATAGCCCTTTCCACAAAAATAAGGCACAATGTTGTGGTGATTACTGAAAACCAGATTCCCCGAGAAATGTGACTCCCTGGGAAGCTGAATGAATACAGATGAGCTTGTCTTTCCATCCCTTCCCCACGTCTTGCTCCTGCCGACGAGTTTAGCTCCTGGCTAGTAACTGAGCCAGGTACGGAAACTTTTGACCCCATCCCCGCATGCCCAGTTATTGCTACGTTGTGGTTGAACGAAGCATTGTGGATCAAATTTAAATATTTTCTATTTTTCTCTTTACAGTCCTGATGCTACTCATGGATGCTTCACTGCAGGCTGGTGGTCAACTCCCATCAGCTTTGGCAGCAAAACTCCCAGCCGTAATTTTCACATCTGAAATGTGGGGGCAGGTAGCCCTCAGAAGCCAGAGCCAATTGAACCTCTTGCATCACGAGCAGATGACTGGACAGAGGTGGTTTAGCAGCAGAAAGCAGGCTGGAAGTGCTTGCAAACATTAAAAACAAGCCGACCAAAGCCAACCGCCCCACCGGTGGACAAACCACCTCCTCCCCTCCCAGTTACAGCAGCTTCAAGCCCACCTTTACCACATCCCACAGAGCAGCAAACCCTCATAATTCCACCTAACTAAGCACATC